GACTAGATATAAGGAAGAAATTTTTTATGATGAGGGTGGTGAAACACTGGCACAGGTTGCCCAGGGAGGTGGTAGATGCCCCATCCCTGGAAATATTCTAGGTCAGGTTGGACAGGGCTTTGAGCAACTTGATCTTGTTGAAGATGTCCCTGCTCATTGCAGGGGCGTTGGACTACATGACCTTTAAAGATCCCTTCCAACCCGAAGTATTCTATGATTTTATGATTCTATAATTCTATGATAATGCCCTGGGGGGAAGAGGAGCCCAAGAAAGCTGGTTAATATTCAAGGATCACCTCCTCCAAGCTCAGGAATAAGGGAAGTCAGGGGACAAAGGGGGACGTCAGGCAAAAAAGCCAGGAGGCCTGCAGGGATGAACAAGGAGCTCCTGGACACACTCAAGCACAAAAAGGAAGCCTACAGAGGGTGGAAGCAAGGATAGGTAACCTGGAAGGAATACAGAGAAATTGTCCGAGCAGACAGGGATCAGGTTAGAAAAGCTAAAGCCCTGATAGAATTAAATCTGGCCAGGGACATCAAGGGCAAGAAAAGCTTCTATAGTTACGTTGGGGATAAAAGGAAGACTAGGGAAAATGTGGGCCCTCTCCCACATGAAATGGGAGACCTGGTTACCCAGGATATGGAGAAGGTGAAGGTACTATGACTTTTTGCGTCAATATTCACCGACAAGTGCTTGAGCCTCACTGCCCAAGCTGCAGAAGGCAAAGGCAGGGATTGAGAGAATGAAGAACCACCACTGTAGGAGAAGATCAGGTTCGAGACCATCTGAGGAACCTGAAGGTGCACAAGTCCATGGGACCAGATGCATCAGAGGGTCCTGAGGGAATTGACAGATGAAGTTGCCAAGCCACTGTCCATCATCTTTGAGAAGTCGTGGCAGTCTGGTGAAGTTCCCACTGACTGGAAAAGGGGAAACATAATGCCCATTTTTAAAAAGGGAAAAAAGGAAGACCCAGGGAACTACAGGCCAGTCAGTCTCACCTCTGTACTTGGCAAGATCATGGAAGAGATCCTCCTGGAAACTATGCTAAGGCACATGGAAAATAAGGAGATGGCTGGTGACAGCCAACATGGCTTCATTAAGGGCAAATTGTGCCTGACAAATTTGGTGGCCTTCTACAACGGGGTTACAGCATTGGTGGATAAGGGAAGAGCAACTGACGTCATCTACCTGGACTTGTGCAAAGCATTTGACACTGTTCTGGGTGACATCCTTGTCTCTAAATTGGAGAGACGGATTTGACGTATGGACCACTTGGTGGATAAGGAATTGGCTGGATGATCACACTCAAAGAGTTGCGGTCAACAGCTCAATGCCCAAGTGGAGACCAGTGACGAGTGGCATCCCTCAGGGGCTGGTATTGGGACCGGCGTTGTTTAACATCTTTTTTGGCAACATGGACAGTGGGATTGAGTGCACCCTTAGCAAGTTTGCTGACGACACCAATGTGTGTGGTGCGGTTGACACGCTGGAGGGAAAGGATGCCATCCAGCGGGACCTTGACAGGCTAGAGAGGTGGGCCTGTGCGAACTTCATGAAGTTCAACAAGGCCAAGTGCAAGGTCCTGCACACGGGTTGGGGCAATCTCAAGCACAGATACAGGCTGGGTGTAGAATGGATTGAGAGCAGCCCTGAGGAGAAGGACTTGGGGGTGTTGGTTGATGAGAAGCTCAACACGATCCGGCAATGTGTGCTTGCAGTCCAGAAAGCCAACCGTACCCTTGGCTGCATCAAAAGAAGCATGGCCAGCAGGTCGAGG